CGATTGGAGGGGGGTGGGAAGAGTTGGCGATGAAAGATGTAATCTCGTCATTTCGCCTTGCTAGCTCTTATCGAGATTGTATCCAACAAAAGCTGCGAATGCATGTCGCAATTCTGTCGGTCTTCCCAATTTGCTCGGATCACGAATAACGCTAAGCAACAAAACTCAAATACGTAAATATAAGCACCTACAATATGAGAGGTAGGCAATCTCTCTCAAAACCTAACCCTAACACCTATAATTTGAGAGACGGGCGATCTCTCCCTAACTTTAACTCAAGACTCAAGATAACAATCTCATCAAAACCCTAACCCTAAGCATATTAGCCCTATTCATACCACACAATAATAACTAACAATTTTCTAAATTAGCCCTATTTATGCCTTACTAAATTGCCTTTTTTGCATTGCACCAAAAATAAGTCTTCATATTATTTGGTTGGCCCGACATCAATGTAACACATTTATATTTGTGATCAACTTTTTAAATCGCTGCTGTATTTCAACCTTTTTAGTCTTGTCTATTGTGAGTGTTGATTTTACTATTTAGCTATATTTTGGTGATGATGCAATTTCTCAATTTTGTAGTTGCAAATTAAATAACAGCATGTTTTAGGTTCAACTTTAATCTGCCACCCTGTAACCTACCCTCCTATCGGTCTTTGTTGTGCCCATGCTTTATATTAATAACAAACTTCATTGATTGGATATTCATAATTAACATAGAAGTTATTTGTTTGGGTAACCTTGATGTAAAGCTATTTGCATGCAAAATTCTTCAATTTTTTTAAATAAAATTGGTAAAGTATAGTTAACTTTATTTTTCACATCCTTTAATAAAGCAGATGTGAAATAGTTACAACTATATAGAAAAGAATTTACATAATATTAAATTTCTATACAACAAAAACGTAGCAATATATATATTTTATGTTGTTATAGTTATTGTGACATTCTGTCATACCGTTATTAACTATTGTTATGGCATAGTTTTGTGTGGAGTGTCTTTTTGAATAGGTAGAAACAATTGTAGATCAAAGATAACATGACTTCAATTTTGTACAAACTTAAATAAGCATATCATGCAATACTATGTAAAAAAATGAATCGAGGAGGATTTATGAATGTGGTCTATATTTGTTGGGATGAGATCAATGAACATGATGATAAGACATTGTTTTTTTTTTTTTCTAATTTGCTTCTATTTAGATTTATTATGTTATACCTATTTAGTTTTGCTTTTCATTCGATACGCTATTGTTTATTTTAGTGTATGTCGAGGTTGGATTGGTTTTGTTGATATTGAAGGAAGTGAGGATCCTTAGTCTGAACCTAATTGTTTTGGTTTGGCCTAATAAATCCTTCTCTCTTCATTCTCTGAGTTATTGAGTTAAATATTTGCTAGCTTTTATGCGCCATTTTAGCGATATTATCTTTGATTTGTCTTATTATCCATATCAAACTTTCCACATTGCTTATATCTACTTATCATATTGATCAATCTTCTGTGTTTCATTGTATCTCAAATCATTTAATTTTTTTTTTTAAGAAAATTAAGGCTGCTCCTATTGTCTCTTTCATAATTAGCTCTTTCATCTTTCCTAGTCTGGTTATCCATGAAGCACAGATACAACTACGGAGAAATGAATATGACATGATACAAATACGATGATATTGTATAATTTAAAAAGTACAATACATCATGCCATAAACATATTTTATACACGATATAAAATATATAATTTTCTTTTATTCTCTACTAAAGACATCATATGATGAAGTATAGAATCATAAAAGAAACTTATATTGATAAAAAAAATTAAAATGATTAATCTCAGAAGAAACGAAATTTTTTGGCCAACAAGCAATAAATAGTTTTTTCAATATCGATATTACTTTCCAATTGTCAAAAAGTCTCCCAAAAAATTAAATCCAATTTTATCCTCAAAATGATTGAAGAAAAATGTGCCTACATGAGCATAATTAATTAGTGTTAGCACACTCTATTTTAGGTTCATCATTAGTGTTGATGTTCTTGCCCTATTTGATAGCAATTCCACTTTCATTTTAAAAAACTAATTACTAAGATAGCTCATCAGGTGCTACTTCAAATATTCAAATATCATCCATTATATTTAATGTATCTCCTTAGATATTCCACAATATAGTCTTCCCTTGAGTAGGGCTACTTCTATATTGAAAACAATGATTAGCATGCACAAATACTAAATATTTGATTAAAGGGTATGCACTTTAATTTATTTCCGATTAAGAAGAGAAACCTGGTAGAGCCAACAATTTAAAACCTAAACTTAATTAATGTCATAAATTATCCACAAAAAATTTTCATTCATAGTCTCTAAAGCTATTTAGCTTCGAAGTATGTACGTGAACAAAACAGGACGTGGACGGGACAATGTAACATAATTGCAAAAAAAATGACATAATGCATCATTTTTATATTTAATATATTATTAATAAGAAATATATTTTACCATAATTATAATACAATGCAAGCAAGACAGTTTGACTGCAACAAATCAAAACAATTGGCATTTCATTATCTTCGTTTTAAATGTGTAAATATGGAGATGGTCGAGGGGGTACTAGGATTAGGGACCTATTGGAATCATGATAAGTTTGGCCGAGATAGTTCAACTATATAGAAATGATGAAAATCATGACAATATTCTTACCTTCCACTTTAGCTTTATATCCTTGTTCTTGGTAGTGCATGGGGAGAGTGGCTTTCGCTTCGAGTTTGTAGGCGGGGAAATGCCTTTGACTTCAAGGAAAAGGGTGAAATACAACATTGGTGTGAGACACAATGTGAGATGGGAATGCATCTTCGTCTTTAGCTTTTTGTTTCAACCTTGAAGCTTGGAAAGATGCAACACAAGGTGGAGATTCATCTTCATCATCATAATTCAGAATTGAGATCAAGGATGCATCGTTGTCTTTTGTTTTGTCTGCTTATCACGTCTTCAAACTTTGTTTTTGTATCTTGACTTCGAAAAGGACATGAAATGTATTAAGTTAGGACAATTCTTAGTCTTGATTACTATTTACAGCGCCTGCTGTTGTGTATCAAATTGTATCCCACTATGTCAAAGAACATGCATGCTCCATGTTCTAACATGTTCCATATGTGTTAGAGCTCAAATTTTCAAGAAAAAAGTTGTTGTAGGTTATGATATGTCAGGCACATGTCGAGGTGCATTGGAACCATGTTTGACGTCAGGGAAGAGGAGGTCGGAGAAGAATTAGCGCAAGAATAACCAAGAAAGTACTTTGAAACAAAAAAGAATAACAAAACAAAGACGAGATGTACTAATTAAATAAAAGATGCAAGGTACAAGAGTTTCCTACCCTCACAATAAATCAGAATATATAAATCACTACTCGAAGGATTGACGAAGGGAAAAAAAATCCAGGATGTCACCATTAACGATGGAAGGATACAGTTGTCATTACCCAACACTGTGGATACAAACTCGTTCCCATTTGAGAACCACAAATGGGAGCAGAAACCCTCACAACTCAAATGAATAAAAGACCGCATAATACAATAAGTGAATACATTTATAATCAAACAAATGACTGAAACCCTAATAAAAGCAAACAGACGAAAATAGCCTTACTAATATATTGACCCACAACTTAACTCAAATTAATTCACTCCGTGTCAATGTCCATGTTTGACATTTGTCCAACGTGGACATGCCATATAGAAGGGTCCATATTTCATAGTTATGGAGCATGAACAACAAAAACAACATTTGAATCCAAAGAAAGATGTAACTCTAAATTAATCATTAATCTAACTTCTCTATTGAGAAAAATCCTTTTAGTCATTTATTTCTATCATTTGTTATATCCATGTCTTTATATGCAGCAGTATGATGTATAGTTTTACTTATCCAAGAATAATTGTAGTATTTAACAAAAGAACGCATCTAATCCCTTATTGTCAATAAATGATCTCTATTTGTATGAGTTGCTTTAACATGTCATATATCAGCTCTATACAAATAATAATATAATCTATGTTATCCTGTTATATATGATTTTAACATTTCCAATTTTATTTTTTTATTTGAGTTTCCCTTATCAATGCTACTCACTTTCTTTAAAGATTGGCAAGCGATAAATCTCGAACTACATGGCTTGAACCTACGACCTCATAAAAACAATCTTCTTCAATTAATGGGCCATGGGTGCTTATGTTGCTATTACTCCCAAGCCTTTTTACTTATATTTTTATTCTGAATAACCGTAAAGAAAAAATATGTTTGTGATTTGCTTTGCTTTGCACTTATTTCTGGTGCCGGAGCAATTGTTTTGTTTAGCATATTAAGAACTTGATGGTCTTAATTGTAGAAAACTGGATCTTATCCTTGATCTCTTAAATTCGAGACAAGTTCATTATTTTTATGCCCTTGCCTTTTTTATAATAATTTGAGGGCAAGTATTTTGTCTGATGAACTTCTTACTAAATATTGGAGGAATAATCTAAATAGAACTAACATACTACCCTTTCAAATGAACTACACATATGTGAAAAACCGAACCATTAGGCTTTTGACATTTCATTTCTAAAAAAATTGTTACTTTTATGAAGCTTTTCAAAATTTGAGTGGATTATTTGTATTAATATGCAAAAATTCTTTTTTTTAAACAACAACAACAACAGCAAGCCTTTTTTTTTTTTTTTTCCATTGTGTACTGTTGATATTTTCATTTAATTCTAATAGATTCAGATCATTTTTTATACAATATGCCCAAGTTTTTTTTAGGTCTACCTATACCTTTCTTAACTTAAGTTAAATCTAAAGCATACACTCCCAATCGGATCATCAGATGCCTGGCATTTAATATGATTAAGTCACCGAAGACTACTCTCTAACCTTGTATGTCACTGGAGCAGCACCAACCCTTTTCATGGATTTTTTGTTTCTTTTTTTTTTTTTTTGAGTCTTGACTATTTTTTGTTATTATCAGATACTCTAGAGAGATACCAGATGCCTATGAAAGGCTTCTCCTTGATGCGATCGAAGGGGAAAGAAGACTTTTCATCAGATCTGATGAGCTTGATGCTGCTTGGGCGCTGTTCACTCCTCTTCTGAAAGATCTGGAAGAGAAGAAGATTGCTCCGGAGCTCTATCCTTATGGCAGCAGAGGACCTGTAGGCGCCCATTATCTGGCTGCAAATTATAATGTTCGGTGGGGCGATCTGAGCTCAGAACACTGAGCTCTGCTTAATTGTAGCTCTTCAATTTGTTGCAGATATTCTGCAGTTAGATTAAAGATTAAAATAAGATCTGTTCCGATTCAATTGGTGTTTTTAAGATATTAGCAGAGGAAAGTAATTGTTCTAAGTTCTATTCTGATATATTATGCAACCTCTTATTTGAGCATTGTAACTTGTTTTAGAAATTTATGCTTATGATGGGAGAAGGTGATGAAGATAATTTTGTACATCTTTCATGGGCACATGTGAATATAGATTCTTTATATCATTATTGTTAATTTATTTATTTTTACAGATTTGTTTGAAAATAGACATTCAAGTTGTATTATGTCAATGCTTTAACAATGATTAAGCAATTGATGACTGCTAAGTGGTATGTAGAGGTTTGGATTGTATTTTGCTCTAAAATTGTTGAATTATTGTGGAAAAAAATGTTTTTTTTTTGTTAACTATTAGCACTGTAATAATTTTTTTCTTTAATGAAAAGATTTCTTTACACAGCTAACAAATGTTTCTTTTGGTAAGTGAGCTTTGATCTGCAAATTTATATTTCGTTTGATAAAATAGTTTATTCCAATGTTTCCCCAGATTATTTCAATGGAAGGGAGATTTTTTGCGGTTTTAGAGCAGAGATGAGGATGCATGTTCCGCCATAAGACTTACGAAGAAGCTTCATCGAATGGTGAAGCTCCTTTAAACAAAGCCTAAAAAGCAATAATAAGGAACAAAATAAGGATCAAGCATGAAGAAATATACATGTTAAACAAGGTCAATAAACCGAAATTTTACATTTTGGATAGTTCTTTGGGTCGAAATATTCACAAATGAAAATTTGTGCTTCTCAAAAAATAAAAAGAAGATGAAAAAAAAGACAAAAAAATTACAAGAAATCAACCTACCGCACTGTGATGACAGGAACAAACCTCCCAACATGCAATCAGAGGAGAAAGCCATCAGAAAATTTGCACTGCACAATGAAAAAGGCTCAAAGAATGTGCCTGGAGAGATGAAGGCTGACAAATCCAGCTAGTCTGAATACAAAAGGATCATTCAAGAAGCCATTGCCCACTATGTCGAGTGGCATTACATGATAACCCAAAAATAGTAGAATTGTTCCAACCTCTTTCTCTGTAGCGATGGTTTTCTTGTCAGTGCTGGTTTCTTTCAGGTTCCCACTTTGACGGGCTCACCAACATATTGCATATCTTTTTTCACCATATTTAAGCTATATATAAAGATTAAATGACTTGCGCAAATGAAAATGAAGCATATCCTATGTGACAGCATTATAACAATCTCTAGTTGATTGTTAAAATATATTGAAAACGCCCTTTTACCCATACAGGCAATTGAGACAGCATGAAGGAGAAACAATTAGATGGTAAGTAGCATATTGTAGTAAATGTTTTCCATTAATGGTGAGCTATTTTATTCTGCAAACTAACCAGAAAGTACAATTTTATTTTCTCAACCGTACCGGATTAAAACATCCCAAAATTTTTATCAAGTTACTCGTTCCGTCGAGTTGAACAAAAAACATGCTGCCGTAGTATCTTAAACTTGTCATGCAACACGAGCTTTCAGGAATTGCCAATGTCATTGTTGCAGATTCAGAGATGGACGTATTTGCATTGTAAGAATGAGCTTCTAGTAAGATTAGTGCTTCTGTTTATAGAAGAAAGCTGCACTAGTACTTGAAAGTGTCTAAGTTTCTGCATGTTTCTCAAGAAAGCAAAGCATTAATTGTATTCAACAAAACATTAAGAAATTGACTGCATATCCCATCATACAATAATACAGGAAAAAGTTGTGCAAAAATTATGAGTGCAAAGCAATTTTAGCATCTCATAGTGTTGAGAAATTAGGGCGAAGAAAAACAAGAATCGACATAAATTCTAAATTCAAAAGAACACGCAAAAGAACACGAAAAGATTTAACGAGGTTCGGCAAAGATGCCTACGTCCTCGGGAGCAGAGCAGTGACTTTTCCACCAATCCAGAAAAAGAGTACATGATACATAATAGAATAATCTAGGATTACAAACAGACCTATTTATAACCCTAGAAAGAGCAGAAAAGTAAACATTGAGTACAATATGTAATACCAAATTACGCATGTATCGAACCCCCAACCCACATAAGGAAACTCTCTGATTTGGACAAAATCTTTCGCTCTGCTCCGCTCCAGTATCTATCCCTTTATGGTATATGAGTCATATCTAACAAATCTCCATCTTGGCGAATATCCAGCCCCTTAGGAGAAATACGTCATGGAGTTTCTTACATACCATAAATGGGTTGGGCCACCATGCTTCTCTAGCAACTGCAAACATTTAACAAGTCCAAGCAATACAAGAACTTGTTGATAGTAACTGACATAGTCAACATATCAGCTGCATTTTCATCAGTATGAACCTTCTGCAACAGTATCTCACCAGAAGCAATCAATTCTCTGATCTTGTGATACCTGACATCAATATGCTTGGTTCTCGCATGGTACACCTGGTTCTTAGCTAGATAAATAACACTCTGATTGTCATAATGCAACTGAACTCCACCTTGCTTAACGTCCAGTTCCTTTACTAACCCAGCAAGGCATAAGACTTATTTTGCAGCTTCAGCTACTGTCATGTACTCAGCTTCAGTTGTAGATGCCACAATAGACTGAATTGCTGATTTTCAACATATAGGCCCTCCACCGAGAGTAAAAACATACTCAGTTGTAGACCTTCTGTCATTCAAATCACCTGCATAGTTTGAATCAACGTACCCTACAACTGAAGGATCATTATGCTGACTGCCAAAAATAATTTCATGTCCTACAGTACCCTTTAGATACCTGAAAGTCCACTTGACTGCTTCCTACTATCGTCTTTCAGGTTTAGTCATGTATTTGCAAACTTTACTAACAGCATGACCCAAATCCAGACGAGTACATACCATTGCATACATCAAGCAGCCAACTGCACTGACATATGAAACTTTTGTCATGTCTTTGATTTCTGTATGTCTTAGGACACTGTTTTGAAGAAAGCTTAAAATGATTTGCCAAATGAGTGCTTACAGGCTTTATTTTGCCCATCTCAAACCTGTCAAGCACTTTCTCAACATAGCCTCGTTGAGATAAACATAATCGTCATGAATCTGTCTCGATGAATCTTCATTCCAAGAATCTTCTTCGTAAGACCCAAGTCTTTCATATCACCAAAAAAAGCTTTCAAACCACGAACATCATTCATATTCTTTGCAGCAATCAGTATATCATCAACATAAAATAACAGAAAAATAATAGAACTATTATCAAGACTCTTCATATAAACACAACAACCATACTCACACCGCCTGTAGCCAATCTGAATCATGTAGGAATCGAACCGCTTGTACCATTGTCTTGGAGACTGTTTCAACCCATACAACGATTTCTTTAACATGCAAACCAGATGCATGCAAACCAGATGCTGTCTAGGTTGAGTGAACCCTTCTGGCTGTTTCATGTAAATATGCTCCTCTAGATCACCATGCAAGAAAGCAGTTTTAACATTCATCTGCTCCAAATGCAAATCCCAAATAGCTACTAATGCAAGCACTGCCCTGATTGAAGTATGTCTGACCACAAGAGAAAAGATTTCATCATAATCTATCTATTTCTGCTGTGAATATCCTTTTGCTATCGGTCAAGCCTTAAACTATTTTCCTTCTTTTTCTGATACTGTTGGTTTCCTTTTGTACACCCACTTGCAATTAATAGCCTTTTTTCCCTCCATAAGCTGAACTAGCTCCTAAGTGCGATTTTTCTGCAAAGGCTTCATCTCTTCAACCATTGCACTCATCCATTTTTTTTTTCTCCTGGCTGGTGATAGCTCCTTGAAAAGTTGTTGGATCATCGATGCTGATGAGAAGTGCACAAGAGACAAAGTCTTCATAACCCAATATGCTAAGAGACCTTATATTGGGGCGTCTCTGTCTGTCTCTGGCTAGATGATAATTTTGAAAATCATCTGGAATGGAATCACCAGGTGTTGGATTTGGACTTTTAACTTTCTCAGTTGCCACTGAATGTTGTTCTAAATCCATCTGAACTGCATCTGAACTGGAACTGTTCCCTTGCATCTTGTATTGATTTTGCTGCAACATGGATTGTTCATCAAAAATTGTATCTCTGCTGATCACCATATTCTTTGCAATTGAATCTCAAAACTTGTATCCTTTCACACCATTCTTGTAGCCCAGAAAGATGCATTTCTTGGATTTTGCATCAAATTTTGATCTTTCATCTCCAAGTACATGCACATAAGCAGAGTACATGCACATAAGAAGTACATGCACATAAGCAGGACAACCAAAAATTCGTACATGATCGAACTTAACTGAATTACCTATTTATACCTCTTCTGCGATCTTGCCACCCAAAAAAGCCCAAAGTGATCTATTGATGAGATAGTATGTCATATTCACATCCTCTGCCCAGAAACTCTTAGGAAGTCTTGCATTCAGTCTCAAGCATCTTGCCCTTTCAGTTAAGGACATGTTCATCCTTTTTGCCACACTATTTTGTTATGGTGTCTTGTGCACTGAAAAATGTCCCTGAATCTCATTCTCCTCACAAAACTTTTGAAACTATAAATATGTATACTCTGTGTCATTATCAAACCTCAAATACTTGATATTTCTGTCAGTTTGGTTCTCAACCTCAGCTTTTCACAGCTTGAATTTAGAGAAAACTTCAGATTTCTGCTTCAAGAAATACACCCAAACTTTCCTGGAGAAAAGGTAACAAAATATTGAGATCCTCCCAATGACGATTCCCTGGTAGAGTCTCATACATCAGAATGCACATAATCAAGAATCCCTTCAGTTTTATGTTTTTCAGTCATAAAACTGACTCTAGTCTGTTTACAAAGATCGAACTTGCAGCTTTTAATACTATGCAACAGATTTTTTCTATGTGATTCTGTCATCCCGCGTTAACTGAGATGACCCAAACACATATGACATAGCTTTGTACTATCATCATCTCTCCACAGAATAAACTCTACCTACAACTGTGCTCCCTAATAGTTTGTAGATATTGTCTGCAGTTAACTTTCCTTTCATCACAGTCAGTGCACCCTTAATAATTCTGATGGTTTCCCTATCCTCATCTGTCTTAGGAATAAAATCATTTCTATGTAAAGTGTCAAAGGAAATCAAATTCTTTTTCAAATCTGGAATATGTATGACATCACATAATGCTCTAAATGTGTCATCATACATCTTAATTTTGAATTCTCCAATGCCAACAATAATGCAACATCTATCATCACTTAGATAAACTGAGCCAGAATTAGTTGACCTGTATGAAGTAAATCACTTCATGTTTGGTGTTATGTGATAAAAGCACTTTGAATCAAGAATTCATGCATCCCTAAACTGAGTTGATGAAACTAAAAACATATCGTCATCACTGCAATCTGAATTAACACTGCACCACCAATCTGAATTAACAAATCTGAATTAACACTGCACCACATTTACAGACTTTGATGATCCATCACCTCTCTCCCCAGTCTATTTCTTGAGCTTTTGACAATCTTTTTATATGACCTGGCGCTTTGCACTTGTAGCAGTGAATTGTCTTTTTGCCTTTGGACTTTGATCTGGAATTTCGCCTTTCTGAACCCTCCTCTTTCTTCCTTCCACGATCCTGATTACCCTTCACATATATTTTTTTTGCTTCCGATAGTTGTGAGCCAACAATGCTGCAGTAATCTCATCAACTTTGATAGTTTCTTTCACATATGTAATAGTAGTCACCAGGTGTTCATAGGAAGAAGTGAACACAACAAAATCATTGCTTGGTCTTCATCCTCAATAATCACACCAAACAGTAATAAATCTGTGATTATTTGATTGAATCCATTAACATGCTGCGCTAGATAAAATCTTCTTGCATCTTCAGCCCATACAGCTTTTGCTTCAGATACAATTTATTTGTCAGAGATTTAGTCATAAACTGAGTTTTTAAGTTCTTCCATACCTCCCTTGGAGATTTTAGATTCATCACGTGATACATAAACTCATCTGTCAAGCATAGGTGTATAGTAGTTGCAGCTCGTTGTTGCAATTCTTCTCAATCTTCATCCTCCATGACATATGGTTTTGTTGCCCGCAAAACCTTCTAGATTTTTTGTTGCGCCAACAAATCTCCGCCTTGATATTTCTCCGCAGGTAATGGAAATCCAAAAATCGGCTTGCTTCACGATCTCCGCACGCCAAGAAGGGAAACAATCGAAACTTTTCTTCCAAATTCTTCCACGCTACCTTCCTTGCCTGCCACGACCGCCTTCCGATTTTCCTTATCCAGCGCAGAATTCGGAAACTCCCAGAAAATTTGCAATCTAAAATTCCCTTCCTCCTCTGGCTCTATTCAAGAAAATTCCCTCTGCGAACCTTCCTTTTGCGTAAGCCTTCCTCTTCCGCTCGCCCTCGCCGCCGCCACTTCGCAGAGATTCGCGATCCTTTCCTGAGTGAGCGACGAATTAACCGATTCCTCCTGGTTCGAGCTGCAGCGACCGAAAACCTTTACAGAACTCCTCTGTCGCACGCTTCTCGCCAACGGTGTTGCCTATCACGAACGGTCTCTCGCCTGAGGGAACCAATCTTCTGCTTCCTTCAGCAAAGGAAATTCCACAGTCGGAACCGCCTGTTCCTTCGCAAAGCACCGAGTCGCGAAA